CAGCTGCGGCGGCATCTGCCCACGGAGCATCGTAACCTCCAGAGTGTCTTACTGTTACGGGACTCGGCGCGCGTGTGTTCGTTGCACTGCTCTGGGGTTCGAGGCATACTAGATGACCGAGCAGCTCTTTGGTCCGATCCTCCTCATTAGGCTGTTCCGGAGGCGCCATATAACCCTGGCCCATGAAACCGACATCTGAGCCCCAATGAAGCGGGCGCACCTTTGCCGTCACTTGTTGCTCGGGTGATATGGGCTCTCCAACATCGAACAGCATCTCTGACGTATGAAACCCAACGGGCATGTGGCGACGAGACGGCTGCTTTGACTGGCCATGACTGCTAGGAGCCTGGACCTTACCGTGGCCATTCATTCTTGGATTGTTGAAATCTGTGTCGGGAGAAGCGAAATTGTGGTGATTGAAGCTGGAATTGAAATCATTTCCAGTGATTCCGTTGTGGTAAAGCATAGAAGCAGCCGCGAAAATATCTGCACTTGTGTTTATCTCCGGTGCCATCATCTCCATGCTAGACTTGTCCATGCTGCCATGAGGGAGACCTGGTTGTGAAAGAGACGTCGTGGAGCCCTCGAAGGTGGGCGGTAGTTCGCCTGGCCAATCTAGCCCGCTAGTCCCAAGCAAACGGTTCGTCTGGCCCCCCATCCAGAAGTCGTTCGGGAAATGGTTGGAGTTCATCGTCGTGAAGAAGTTGTCTAGCATAGTGGACTCGTTGTCGTCGAGAAGAGCGGGCCCGGGCGGTCGTGCAGGCGCAGGTTCGTATGGAGTGTCCATTGGCGAAAGGAAAGAATCTATACGCGCACACATCTTTAGCATGAGCACGGAAGAGATTGTGGATTATTGAACATACAGCCAAACGGGCCAGGTTGTGGGCTGTCGCTGCCATTATGCGCTTCAGGGTTTCTGAGGTCCATGATGGCGACACCGTAGGAGAGATGAATTTGAGGGTTTGAAGATCGCGATTCGACTTTCCGCATCAGTTGCTACCCTTGTTGGAGAGCAGCGCCGAGAAGACAGCGCGGACATGCCTTAACCGGCGTAGGTAACGTTGAATCCGATTGCTCGGGGATGATCGGGGCTCGCAGGCCACAGAAGCTCACAAGCACGAGCTGAGGATTATGATGCGAACGCTTGTTGTCAACAGATGCATTCGATTCGGGTATAAGCTGGGGATGACAATGACAGAATGACCGGCGGGTTTGTTATGTATGGAGCAAAGCAGCGTTCAAGCGGAAGGACTCGGTTGCAAAGTGGGACATCTCCCACATTAATTCGCTAGACAGATAAAAGGAAGGATGACGGAAGGTGGAGGAGAAATCCGGGGGAAATAGCTTGAATGGTGGAGAGAGATCACTCTCTGTTGGCTGGGCGAGAGAGCGAGAGACTGACTGGTGAACAGGTAGAGTTGGTAAGTAAGAGAGAGAGAGACTCACTCACTCAGTCACTCACTCAGTATAGGTAAGGTAGTAGGAATTCGTTCGGTCTTTATGAGTCGATCACATGCAAAAAATCTCGCGCTCGACCGGCGGTCGCGTGACGTAACAGTAATACGCCAAATACCACACTCTGGCTGGGCATTTGGGCTGAAGCGCAGTAATGTTTCGGTACGACCTGCTTAGTCTCGGCCCAATTTCCCAGTCCGTCGTTGCAGTTGCTGCTGGTCTTCTCTACATTTAACCCAACTAGTTATTAGTCCACGGTTCTAACTGTATTGATTAATTGCTGCTGCATCCCACCATCTCAATTCAATCAATTCATTAATCAAAACGCATTCGCCTAACAATTCGGCCATTCTAGCCGTGGGACGAGAGAGCATGTTTTGAGCTTTCTAGATCTCTCAACAACCTGTGGTCCGTCGTATCTTTTATAACCTATCTTTTTCTATAGACCCTTCCCTCTCCGCTCATCCACGGGTGATGCTCAAAGACCCCAAGTTTGGTCCAAGCAGCCACGGGGATCGTCGTTGATTACCGAATAATCGTTACCCCTGACCCAGCCCTAGCAGTGACTCTCCCTCGTGTCTACAAGAACCGAGGCCTTCCAACTGCGTCGCACGGATCCCGCGGGGAATCCTATGAAAGGTTGCTGTGGAGCACAGAGCTTTGTGGTTATCGCCGCAGATCAAAGCGTTTGTGCCAGCACTCAATGCCTTAAATTCCCAACTTTGTGTAATGTCCTAGTCCAATCTTGAGGCAGACTCATCCCCTCACAGGTTAGTGAAGAAGTTTATCGTTTGACTGCCACTGGTGATCAAATGAAATGAAGCACCTGTCTGACAACAATTGGTAGACTGCGTTGGTCAAAAATCTCCAGCGAGAGTCATGAATGGTGAGCTTGGGACACCATGTATCCTGTTGCCATCCGCTCCCAGCATCGCAGCAGAGTTGACATCCTAAAGCCGTACGTTCTGACCCATCTAACACAAATTCTCTTGAATCCTCTTGACTTTCCTTTTCTTGAGCCGTACCAAGCTCACTGTTGAAGGATACTGCGCGCGTATGCTCTTGGATACTTGTCTTCAACCACCCCGAAAATCATTTCCTGTCTACGGCGTATCCAGGACAAAAGGCTCAGCAACAAAGACAGGCTGAAAGAGGTAAGAAGCTCCCCCTGTCTTGGCCGGGGTTGTTCATGCTACACCAATTGGTGTGTGCTGGCTATTTGTGCTCTTTGTGAATTGCGGATGTATTACTTGGAAGACCAATAGCTAATCTCGCTTTTGACAGCTGTTCCATACGTCGACCAATCCGTTACGGCTCGAGAGCTTTCCCACATTCTGTGCTCTTTTGATTGGTGGTTCAACTATTGCTCCCTTCATACTTTCATGCTGTCTTGAGCATGTACGCCGCAAATTCAAGCTTAACACTTCTACGTATACTTCGCAGCGCATGCGGATTATTCAGTTTGTCTCGGCGTTCTTGTCTGCTTGGTACTCATTTCCACTCTTGAATAAACAGCCCATCAGAATACAGGGTAAACCGAGGGATCCTGATGATTGCACTCCGATGCAGAGTGCTGAAGGGCTGGAAATGGTCAGAGAAGCACCAAGCGCAAATTCTCAATTTGTTGGCCGGAGCATGGATCTTACGCTCTTTAGCCTCACACGCGCTGCGGACTCAATCGTGTGCATAGGGTGGCAGCAGTGGCGGCGGTGGCGGAAGGGCAGAAACCACTGGACCTGGGCAGAGCGCGTAGCGCCCAAGCTTGCCAATGCTGGTGCATTCGCTGCCAGTGCGGCGATAGTCATGTGGGCATGGTTCTATATGCCAGAAAGACTGCCAAGGGCTTATGAAAAGTGGATTGGGGAAGTTGCAAAAGTTGACTCTAGGCTGATTGAAGCACTGCGCGGTGCCAGGAGAGGTGTATTGGTATATGGGAAGGACACTGGACATGCTCCCCTCCTACAATCCATGTGCAAGGACTACGGTTGGCCTCTTGACTGGGGTGATCCCTCGAGCACTGTCCCTATACCCTGCGAGATGGTCCACATGGGATGTGGTCCGAGCTGTGAGAAACATGCAGTATCTAGATTTGCTCGAACGTTCAAGTTTGCTTGTGCGACTTACATTCCTTTACAGCTTCTCCTACGCCTGCGCAAATTGAAGTCAATGTCGTCACTCAAGCACGCCTTATCAACCGCCTTGCGCTCATCTGCGTTCCTTGCTTCGTTTGTGAGCATGTTCTATTACTCAGTGTGCCTCGCCAGAACAAGACTAGGCCCCAAGATCTTTGCCAGTGACACAATCACACCCATGATGTGGGATTCTGGGCTTTGTGTTGGTGCGGGATGTCTCATGTGCGGATGGAGTATACTCATTGAGAGTGCGCAGAGACGGCAAGAAATTACATTATTTGTAGCACCCAGAGCCGCAGCGACGGTCATGCCGAGGTTTTATGATAAAAAGGTATGCTTGGTTGACTTGGCCATAGCGTTCGGTTGCTTGGTTCGAGGATGGTTGCACTAGCCCCGTCGTTCCATCCGTCATCCCGATTCTGGGCTACCCTAGATTTTGAGATCCTATGCTGACAATTTCTATTTGCTCGATAGTATCTGTATCGTGAACGCATTGCATTTGCTATCAGTGCTGCTGTTCTTCTAACGTGTGCACAAGCACGTCCCGAGATGGTCCGAGGGGTTTTTGGAAGGGTAGCAGCGAGTGTCTTGAGATGAACGGGCACGAGCGACTCCCTTCTTCCCGCAGCAATCTGTTCAAGCATCATTGAATCATCAGACCCAATGCTCGCTTCTGCTATTCATCATCAAACGATGATAAAGTGGGCTTGGAGAGTCGAAACCTGCGCAATGACCGCACTTGCATCTTTACAGCGAGTGTTATCAAGTATGAAACATTAAAACGGCTCCAAAGAAGACTGAACTCAATTTATACATATAAGCAAGTGAGTCAAGCGGTATCAGTCTGCACGCAAATGACGGGTGGCTCGGTAAGGGAAATGAAGTGTAGCATCTCAGGCTGATAATTTCGGTGTTGGACCGTCAAGCGCCTTTCCGACACTGGCAGTTAGGGCTACTAGGCAGCTATGCAATTGTTCTAAGGCAAGTTGCAATCGGGAGTCTTCTCCTCTGTTATGACATGAAATCATCCATAAGCAAAATTGCCTAAGCATGACCTGAACCTCCCGTAATTTGGGATAAGCTTTAAGAGACAGTATGGGGGATAAAATGAGCCCTTAATTGTGCAGGCAAGCTATAGTCTGATGCCTGAATGGCAGCGCAAATCGACATAGACCGCCTTTGTCACCGCGAGATGCGGCAGAATGTCCTCAACCTCAGAGAAGGAGATCTAGTGGGGAAACCCTGAACAGCACCCAAGACGGGAGTCCGATAGCAAAACTGTTTGAGAAGGGCGGTGGCAGAAAACTGCCCACTAACAACAATGATTATCACCACATGATCAGCCCACCTTATCGGATATTCTTGAGTCACGTGTGACAAGGACATTATCGAGCCTGGACTTGATGCTGCAGTCGGAGTCCAATTACACTGTCCCCGCAGCACATCTCTTTTAACCATGATTTCCCGTTCAATATCCTCATGGGGCCAGCTCCCATTGCCGGGATCAAGTCTTCGTCTATCTGCCCAGATCAATTCAAGATGCATGGATTCTGGACGACGATTCTTCACTCGCAATTCAGTTCTACGACAAAACATTAATGCTCCCTTCAATACACCTCAATCGCAAAAGCGCAATGCGTCCACCATGTATGATGACATGGCGACTGTCTTTCCAGTGCAATGCTTATAGATAACTAGGTATTATACCATGAGTATCATTCTCGGTACCGTTGCTTTGGCTTATGGCTCTGTTCCTCTGTATAAAATGGTGTGTTCAGCCCTGTGAATATGCACTTCATCTGCGTCATATATTTACTTCTACCGCCCATTGTATAGATCTGCCAACAAACTGGCTGGAACGGTCAACCATCTACTACGCATCGCGGAGGCGACAACGATACCGCATCTCGTGTCAAACCCGTGACAGACGCCCGTCGACTCAGAATCACCTTCAATGGATCAGTGTCGGATGTTTTACCGTGGAAGTTCACTCCGCAGCAACGCGAAGTTCGTGTGCTTCCAGGAGAAACAGCGCTTGCTTTCTTTACAGCTACGAATAAGGGCCCCACAGATATCATTGGTGTTGCGACATACAGTGTGACCCCTGGTCAAGTCGCACCCTATTTCAGCAAGATTCAATGCTTCTGCTTTGACGAGCAGAAGCTTAACGCCGGGGAATCGGTCGATATGCCGGTATTCTTCTTTATCGACCCTGACTTCGTCACGGACCCAAACATGAAAGGCATTGACACTATCACTTTGTCATACACCTTTTTCAGTAAGAGCAACGCCGAGCGCGCACTATCTGCACAGGTTGCTAACATCAAGCAGAGGCACGATACGATGATAATGGGGTACTCACGCCACTGCCTGCGTGATGATATCTGGATACCCTTGCTCAATTTGTTTTCTTGACACCAACTCAGGCGCCTGTGACGAAGAGGCTTTCATCAGAGGAAAGCCTCTGACGACCTGTAATCGAGTAGGTTTCAGTAAAGACACCTGCTTGTCAACCCTCTCATAAAGACCTCACATCTCACTTCTCCGGCAAATACTCTTCAAGCCACCATCGCAGATAACCTTTGGCGTCTATTCGGGTTTTGTACTATAGAGCATGTATATACAAAGAACTACCAGTATGTGTACGATATGGGTAGGAAATTTCCCTTGTATATTGCCTACGGGCCCTGAGTTTGAATCATTGCCGTTGTTAATGGCATTCCAAGTACTTACTCAATTCTGTCTGCGGATATCAGGGAAGCCATGAGAATGAATCTCAAGTAAATTAGATCCCAAGGTCGACCATGGAAAGTTACCTTACATTGCTCAGTGCCTGAGGCATAAGAGCGGAGTGCGGAACAGTCGGGTATTGCTCTCATTGGTTCCGACATGCATAGTCAGCCGAAGTGCACGGAGCATCAATTAAGCTCGCGTCACGGGCGACGCGTCGGCCGTCCATTAGCTTCGAGGACGGGAATTGTATGGCGGCGACAAAATAGCCCAGCGACTTCATCCATACACTTTGAAGCTCAAAGCCGATCAACCAAGATGGCGTTGCTAGTTGATAAACACCGGCCTCGCTCGCTGGACTCTCTGACATATCACCCAGAGCTTTCCTCACGACTAAAGTCCCTGGTAAGGCACACTAGAGAACCTTGAATAGCGAAATGATAATAATCATCGAAACATGTTTAGGCACAAAGCGGCGACTTCCCACATCTACTGATCTACGGACCATCAGGCGCAGGCAAGAAAACACGCACGATCGCAACCCTGAAGGAATTGTACGGCCCTGGAGTGGAGAAGATCAAGATCGACGCCCGAGTATTCCAGACGACGAGCAACCGGAAGCTGGAGTTCAACATTGTCTCCTCCGTCTACCACTTGGAGATCACACCGTCGGATGTGGGCAACTATGACCGCGTCGTTGTCCAGGAGCTGCTTAAGGAGATCGCGCAGACGCAACAGGTCGATCTCTCGGCGAAGCAGCGGTTCAAGGTGGTGGTGATCAACGAGGCGGACCACTTGACGCGCGATGCGCAGGCGGCGCTCCGACGGACCATGGAGAAATACAGCCCCAACCTCAGACTCATCCTCCTGGCCAACAGCACCTCGAATATCATTGCGCCGATCCGATCCCGCACCCTGCTGGTCAGGGTCGCTGCGCCCACGGAAAAGGATATCTGCGCGGTGTTGCGAACGGCGGGCAAGAAGGAGGGGTGGCCAGAGGCGGATGGGCTGAATCAGAGGATTGCGAGGGAGAGTGGTCGGAACCTGCGCCGCGCGCTGCTGATGTTTGAGGCCATTTATGCACAGAAGTAAGAGCTCCCCGCCCCCTTTGCTTGTGTTCCTGGAACCCCGGGGCTGACAACATTTTTTTGGGGCATCACAGTGAGAAAGTCACCGACAACACGCCAATTCCACCTCCCGACTGGGAAGCATTGATTGCGCAAACTGCGGATGAGATTCTGGCGGAACGGTCACCGGCTCAATTGTTGCGAGTCCGCTCACGTCTGTATGATCTGCTGACGCATTGCATACCGGCTACTACCATCCTCAAGGTTTGATTCCCCTCCTCCAGAAACACGATTCGCGCAAGCCTTCAGGCTAACGGGGGCATGATAGACCTTAACCTTCCAGCTCGTCGGCAAAGTGGACGATGCTCTCAAGCCCGACGTAATCAAATGGTCGGCTTTCTACGAGCACAGAATCACCCAGGGCAGTGTAAGTTCTGATTCTATTGAAGAGATCCGCAATCAATCATGGTACTGACCCATCGCTCCGCAGAAATTGATCTTCCATCTCGAGGCATTTGTTGCCAAGTTTATGCGCATTTATGAAAGGTTTGTTTGACACAATAGACCAAGATGTTATTGGCTATCATAGCTAACTCGATGTGTAGTTACCTCATGGGCATGGAGTTTTAAAAGGGTCTAGAGTAACAAACAATGGACGAGTAATGAATTAATTGTACTATAACAGGTCGTTATTTCCATAAATCAGGCGTTCTGTGATAGAGTAAATGACCTTTTCTTCCTATTTTAGGCATAGCGGAAGCTTTATTCCGTTGTTCTGTGCAAGACATCATGTAGATCATCTACAAACTTCAAAATACTCACCAGGTGGATGGGGTTTTGGGCAAGAGAAGAGATGGTAGGGGAGATGGGAGGGGAACCCGGGGATGACGCTCCATTGACTGAGATGACTAGCCTCACACAACCAGCTTGCTGCGGAGTAGACTGTCTAGGTATAAGCTGCAGCATTATCCATGACTGACATCGGGGTGCCCTGAATGGGAGTTGGTAGCCACTGGCAATCCATCGACAGCTGATCTTGATTGACTGGGTGGATTCACTTGACTACGTCATAGCTCGTATACATATTCGACCACCACCTCGCAGGCAAATCCCCCCATCTTCCAATCCCGCCTAATCTTTAAAAAAACACAGACAAGGATAATTACTAAGTCTATCAATCCCACGAGTCAATCTTTATTTTATTTGGAACATCGCGAAAACTACACTATGTCGAACCCCAACCTCATGGATATCGAGCCCGGTGGTGAAAACACTCAGTATGTTTCCGCTGGCTGCTCGGGTTTCGCGAATCAGAGGAAGTGAGGATTACCGTGTGCTAACCGGGATTGTAGGTATGAGTCGATTCGTTATTTCACAGAGACTCCGCCGAAGCAGACCGGTCAACTAGGTGGTAAGTTCGTGCTTTTTAAACTTGGGACATGATTTACAAGGGCCACGGCTTATGGGGCGGACTAGCTCACTGCGAGCACACAAGAAGTGAATACAACCCGATCCTCGGAGACGAGGATGAAGAAGGCAAGGAAAAGAATGGGGACACGCCACTGGCACGGCAGCTTGAGAAGGGAGAGGCTACGTCTGGTCTCTCGGGAATCGTGGATAAAGGTACAGTTTCACAATCTTTTTTTCCCCCGGGGTTTCCTTTTTTTTTCCCTTTCCCTTTCCCTTTCCCTTTCAATATGATATAAACTCCGCATATGAGAAAGACATCGACACCTTTTGCGAGATCAATCGCAATAAAGCAGAATGTGAATGGCTGATGGTAATGTACAACAAAAGATTCAAAGCCCGAAACCCCAGAGGAGGCTGCAGCGCTGGCGGCAAGGATCAGGAGAGAGCAGGGATATGGGCCTGGCTCGGGTGTCGGGGCTTAGGTGCCGCGAGATAAGTGTAAATAAAACATGGGTAATGAACAGATTCTCCAAGAAATTCGAGACGGGCGGTTGATTGATTTATTGAGAAGCGGATGGGCTGGAGGAGGTCGACTGCGGGGGCGTGGGGAGATTCTCCATCCCCAGGGCCGGGCTTCTGCGGGCACGCTTAAGGCTCTCCAGGGTCACTCCGTTGCCGAGTTTCGTCAGTCCGACCACCGGGGGCTCGCCCTTCTTCACAAACTCCCAGAGTCCTGTGTATAGTAGATGTATTAGTGTCGTGGGCCGTCAATGGCGATGTTTCTAGATGCCATGAGGGGAGGGGGGCGCCTACCAGGCAGCTTGTGACCGGCCAGACGGAAAGCTTCTCTGGCAACCTTCTCGTGCAGGTCGCCCTTCAGCTCGAAGACGATTCTGCTCACAGCGACCTTCGCCGTCCAGTAGTCGAACTTTCCTTTACCCTTACCCATACGCTGCTCGTTACCCTTGGTGTAGACACCGATGTTCGCGCTGACTCGCTTGTATAGCGTATAGTTCATACCCCTCAGGCGTCTCTTGATGGTTTCTTCGGCGATCTTGAGAGAATGGGCGGGCAACCGACGGTCGTGATCCTTCATCCGCAAGCCATAGTCACCCCAGACAACAGTCGTACCGCGCGAGGAGCCACCGGTCGGGACATGCGGGCGACCCTTCGGAGACTTCGACACCTCGGCGTACTTGGGAGTGAGCCAATCCAGGGCAGGGGAGGTCGTCGAGAAGCATCGCGAGAGAGGAAGCGCTGTGCAAGGAGTCGTGAAGCCTAACGCATCGCATCGGTGTCAGTTTCCCTTCCGTGATGAGAGAATTTGATGGAGGTTCATGGCCAAACAGAAGAGGAAAAATCTGGGAGGCGGCAGCGCAGAATCTTACATGAAGGCCGGAACAGGGCCATTTGAGACCCGGAGAACATCTTGAACTGAGGACCCATTGTGAATTGAAATGCAGCAAATGGCCCTCTCTCAATTACCGGATCTCAGCAATATTCAAAGGGTTCCCGGCAGACTTTCAGGTTATCGGCGTATCTGCAGGCCCGGGCCCGAATTCCCCCATTTCCCGAAAGGGAAGAAAGTGCTGCGCACGTGCCACACGCGCCTCTCTGTCTTAGGTAAGCCAATTAAGTCACGTCGGCGTAGCTGCAAGCAGGCGCGCGTCCGTGTCGGCCGGAATTGTATGTAGCTCCCAGCGATAAGTGGTGAAGGCTTTCCACCTGCTGGACGTTGTTGTTGCCTGGAGCGTAGGTTCTCTCTGACTGTTAAATTCTGTCCCCAGGGAGCGCTACCTTACACGGTTGTGCACGCTCCAACAACTATTGTTCACCATGCCTTCTGATATCCGGAGCTTCTTTGGCGCGAAGTCGAGCCAAGGCTCAAACGCATCTCCTGCGAAGCCGGCTGCAAAGAAAGAGGTAAGTCGATGATCGAGCTCGCACTCCAGTGCCCTGTCTCACAATTATCGTTCCAACATTCTTGCTGACTTCCGTTGCGTTGCTAGGAGCCTGCTACTCGGAAGAAGCGTGAGATTCATACCAACCGTCCCGATCGTGCCTTGCTAACCTGGCTGTAGGCACTCGGAAGGTTGTTGATGATAGTGACGATGAAGAAGTAACTGAGGTGAAGCCTTCAACCCCAAAGGCGAAAACAGCAAGCAAGCCGTACGTGCTCCTTCGACTTTCTTAGCAGAACTTCATCAATTGACAGCTTCAAGGAAACCTGAAGAATCCCAAGGAGAACCGACTTCTACCTCGGACTACTTTGCCTCGAGCAAGAAGCGAGGAAGACCAGCGAAGAGCAACAATGCGACCACAGCTAAGCCGTCGCAGCCAACCCCAGCCGAGCCTGTGCACGAGTCCCCGAAGCCTAAGACGCGTGCAGATACACAGACTACTCCTAAGAGAGCCACTCGTGGATCTACTAGAAAGACGACAACGGTAGTAGACGATGATGAGGGACTAGGTGGCGATGACGTCTTTGCGACCGAATACAAGAAGAGAGGCAAGGGGGATGACGATTATGTTGAGGAGGATGAGCAGGATGGCAGCGACGACGAATTTGAAGAGCTTGCCGTGAAGCCTGCCAGCCCGGTGAAACGAATTGGACGAAGCAAACAACCACCCCCTGCAGAGTCAGACGATGATGTGGTAATGGAAGATTTGCCTAAGCGCCCCTCTCGCGCGGCGCAATCGACAACCTCCCGCCCAGCTCGCAAACGGAAGTCGGAAGCATTGGACAAGGAGGAAGACTCCGAATTCGAGGCCAATCCTAAAAAGAGTGCGGTGAAAGCGAAAGCGACGTCGCATGCCGCCAAAAAGCCCCGAGCGTCTCCGACAAAGACCGATCGACCCGAAAGCAAGGAAATCCAGGATATCTTCGACAGCATCCCAACCGTCAAGGCTCCTTCCCCTCCGCCACAGTCGGGCGAAAAGACGAAATTTAATTTCGCCGCTCAGGCACAACGTTCAAGGTCTCCTGTGGGCGGAAGCGTGGAGCTGCCAGTCGGAGCAGAGAACTGTCTCGCTGGACTGTCGTTTGTCTTTACCGGGCTTCTGGACACGTTGGGCCGCGAGGAGGGTCAGACCTTGGTGAAGAAGTACGGTGGCAAGGTTACCGGTGCCCCCAGTTCGAAAACGAGCTACGTTGTTTTAGGAGCGGATGCTGGACCCAAGAAGCTCCAGACAATCCGACAACACAAGATCAAGACAATCAACGAAGAGGGACTATTCGAGCTCATTCGACGGCTTCCAGCAAATGGAGGAGATGGAAAGGCCGGGGAAAAATACGAAGCGAAGAAGAAAGCAGACGAGGCCAAAGTCAAGGCGATGGCAGCAGAAATTGACAAGGAAGAGAAGCGCAAGGAGATGGCCGCTCGCGCCTCGAATACTGTTCCGCCTTCAGCATCTCAAGCGTCCACCACAGCCTCTCAACCCGCTAAAGTCGCTGATGAACTGTGGACAACCAAATACGCGCCAACATCCATAAGCATGATTTGTGGCAACAAGACCCTAGTCGAGAGACTCCAGAATTGGCTACGAGACTGGCACAAGAACGCGAAATACAACTTCAAGAGACCTGGAAAAGACGGAAGCGGCCTCTACCGAGCCGTGATCATCCATGGGCCTCCTGGTATTGGAAAAACTACAGCGGCTCATCTGGTTGCGAAGCTGGAAAATTACGATGTCGTTGAGACTAACGCGAGTGATACGAGAAGCAAGAAACTCGTCGAGAACGGCCTTGTTGGGGTGTTAGACACAACCTCTCTACAAGGATACTTCGCAGGAGAGGGCAAGAAGGTGAACAGTGATAAAAAGAAATTGGTTCTGATCATGGACGAAGTTGATGGAATGTCTGCCGGAGATAGAGGTGGCGTTGGAGCTCTGGTGGCTGTCGCAAAGAAAACCCATATCCCCCTCATTCTCATCTCTAACGAGTGGAAAATTCCAAAGTTGAAGCCCTTCGAAGGCACTGTCTTTGAACTTGCTTTCCGACGCCCAAGTGCAGATCAAATGAGGGCCCGACTTTCAACAATCTGTTATCGCGAACAACTGAGAATACCAGCTCCGGTGCTGGACGGTCTGATCGAAGGAACCCATTCTGATATTCGCCAAATCATCAACATGCTCTCGACTGTGAAACTCGATCAGCAGAATTTAAATTATGAAAAAGGACGGGAAATGTCGAAAGCCTGGGAAAAGCATATTATTCTTAAACCATGGGATATTGTGAACAAGATCCTCGGACCCCAAATGTTCGCACACACGTCAAAAAGCACTCTTAACGACAAAATCGAACTGTACTTCAACGACCACGAATTCAGCTATTTGATGGTCCAGGAGAATTATCTCAAGACAAGGCAGACATTGGCCTCTGGGTACCAGGGTCGAGAGCAGAGGTTGAAGCAACTCGAGTTGATCGACAATGCAGCATCTAGTATCAGCGACGGCGACCTTGTGGATCGCATGATTCATGGGACCCAGCAGCAGTGGAGCTTAATGCCTACTCATGCTGCTTTTAGTTTTGTTCGACCTGCCAGCTTCGTGTATGGAGCCATGGGAGAACGTCCTACATTTGCTGGTTGGTTGGGACAAAACAGCAAGCAAGGTATGTTTTTTCCCCTAAATTCCCTCAAAGCATGTCTAATATAGGTATGCAGGAAAATTGTGGCGTTACGTCAAAGAAATTCAAGGCCATATGCGCCTACGTGCATCCGGCGACCGGGATGAGATTCGGCAACAGTACATGCCCCTGCTCTGGGATCGCTTGGTCCGCAGATTGAAGGATGAAGGTAAAGACGCTGTTGAGGAAGTAATCGACTTCATGGATAGTTATTTCCTTACCAGGGAAGACTGGGATGCCCTAGTAGAGCTGGGCCTAGGTCCGATGGATGCAGAGCATGCGAAGCTGGAAACGCAGACGAAGGCCTCATTTACGCGGGTCTATAATCAACGCTCACACCCCCTGCCGTTCATCAAGGCGAGCAGTGTGACGGCTCCCAAAAAGATGGCGAAGGAGAAACCCGATATTGAAGACGCCGTGGAGGAATCGGATGAAGAAGAGGTTGTTGAAGAGTCAAAGGACGATGAAGCTGAGGAGCTTGACCTGAAGAAAGACAAATACGTCCGAGTGCCCAAGAAGTCAGCCACCAAGGGCGGTGCCAGCAAGGGGAAGAAGACAAAAAAGACAGCGGACGAAGATGATTTTGATGACGAGGAGAAGCCGAAGAAGGCGAGAGGTCGGAAGCCCAAAGCGAAGTCTGGGTGATATTAACACGAGGTGAAATCTTTTATGTATGATACTCCGAGCGAGCCCTTGATGTGAGACAGGATCTGGCCGGACGTCGCAGGCCTGGTTTTCGTAATAAGTAGCGTGGAAGATGAATGAATTACTTCACGGTCCTGCTATTGTTTGTCAATATGTGATTTTATTTAGTGACTCTAGTTGTAGTATAGTAGTCACTGAGATGAGACAATGTCTAACCTATGGTGTGTGATGAATTGTATAGATTGACGCGACTTTCTTTCCCTGGACGCTAAGCCTCTTTTGGTCTAACAATGGCGGCGGTGCGGAGATCCGACGACTGCACGGGATCTCCCCCTCCCGTGTAACTACGCTCGGGTGAGATTGATTGCCTCCTCCACAAACCCACCGTGCGGTCTCACTGCCTTGGTTACTTATCTCTCGTTACCGTACCCATCTTTCCTGCAGCTCCCCAGGCTGGTCCTGGTTGCAACTGACACTCTCTTTTCTTGACCGCCAACCTATCGCTCCTCAAGTCTGGCGCATCTATCCACACTTCCCTTTGTTACGCCGTTCTAGGACCATGTCCACTCGATCACCGATAGCGATTGCGCATCGTCCGACGTAAATGGTGGCCACTTTTGGCTGCAACCTACCTTTTCGAACTCCCATACTATCCGCATTCCACCTTGCGCTCTCTGGAAAATGTCGCTCCTTCACAACGAAGAGTAGGTTACAGGATTGCGATCTCCGCATCGCCTATGTCACGCGGCGGCGGTTCGTGTGTTGTTCTAGGGACTGATGGGGGTTTCTAGTTTCACGATATGGCAACTGCGCACTTCTTACCTCTCGACCATTAAAGATGGAATCGGTGACCGCCTCATCAATGTGAACAATACCGTACTCAATACTCCCGGTTTCCGTGCTGCGGGCTGGTCTTCCGCCTCCGCCAACCCCAACACCCAGACCGGCGCCGCCCAAATCAAGCGGACATACTCGCCTCCCATACCCCTCACCACAGCTGTCGCCTCGGAATATTATCAACTTGGTATTGCCAGAGATGCCAATGAGTCTGCGAGGCTTGGGGCGGGGGAAGATGGCGATGACGATGAAGGCGGGATGGTGACAGGAAAGAGTAACATGGACATTATCGGACGGCGGAATCTCAGAGGGAAGCGCACGCACCGGAGGGATCGTCAGCAAAATGATCAGCAGAAGCATCGGGAGGCTGAGGAAGACGATAGTAGTGACTTGAGTGACGAGAGCGACGATGATGGTGATAGCGC